CGCTGTTTGTCTGTTTGCACTTGCAGTCGTTTGGGATGTGATCAGTGCTGAAGTTTCGCCGCATTCGATTGGTGCCAAAGCCAAAGCCGTCATCTGCTTAGGTGATAGGGAAGAACACAGGTGAGGTGGTGGTGGATGATGATGATGATGACCAGCTTTGGAAAGTCATCAACTGCATCAGCCTACCGTGAAATGAGGGGTCGGTTCGGGTGCTGCTGAGAGACCGTTTCCGCCTCGGCGGCGGCACCACCGGCTCAGCGTATCCATAGGGGTAGGGATTCATGGCAGCTGGTGCGTGGCCACTTGCTGCTGAACATGCAGATTAATCACACACAGTCACACTATGACCAGTGCTGGGCGCAAAGGGAAGAAGAAGAAAGGTGATGCAGGAGGAATTCACTTTAATGGATAGACAGAATGTACAGAAGAGCTAAAGGCAGACAGCAGACAGTGGTGGCAGAATGACGAAGAACGGTGTGAACTGCTGTTGCTNAAGAAAGGTGATGCAGGAGGAATTCACTTTAATGGATAGACAGAATGTACAGAAGAGCTAAAGGCAGACAGCAGACAGTGGTGGCACGAAGAACGGTGTGAACTGCTGCTGCTACCGACAGTCGGTGTATGTGCATACATTTTCGAGGTCCCATATGATGCAGACTGCTGCTGCGGCTGCTGCTGCTGCTGGTTCACCAGATTCACCGGCTAAAAATAGACAGCTCTAGGCAGCACTCCAATTAGACGACACAGACACGGCGACGATCAAGTTGGGCGAGTTGAGAGCAGAGCGACATTTAATTAAGGAACGTGCTGTACGCGGGCTGCCAAATCAGTGTTGGCATTGTGTGTAAGTGTGTGTGTGTGTGTGCGAGTTTGCCTGTACGGCTGCTGCTGCTGATGCACTTCATTCACCATAATCTGCTTGCTGATTGTTTGTGAAGAATTTCCAGGCCAGAGAACGCAAAGAACGCACGGTGCACCACCACCACCTCTCCTCCTTAGTAGCAATCCATCACCATATCTTCGGCGAGAGAGGTGTAGATTATGTCGTCCAGAATGCTCACTTGCGGACAGTCGCGCTCTGTCTCCACCGATCTTCGCAGCTCTCCCGGGCTGCTCTTCTCCACAAAGTCGAACGCCTTCTCAGGTGAGGCCACTTCATTCAGCTTTGCCTGCCTGCTGAAGGATAGGTGCGCCCTAAGATCAGCCTGCGTCGTCAGTTTGCTGAGCATCTGCTCATGTAAGCTCAGTGCGACCAGCTTTGTTCGATACATGACTAAGGGCTCGTTGAGCAGAGAGAAAACCAAGGCAAATAGACCCGAGTCAAGGAAGCATTGAGCACATTCTACAGTGTCGTTTTGTCTCAGTGCATGCCCGCTGATGGTTTCAATTATTTGAAGAAGAATGCACTGCAGTTCGGTGTCCGTTTCTTCATAGCAAAACTTGCACAGCAAAGGAAGCGAAAATTGGACTTCGGCAAAAGAAATTGTAGATTCTTTTTCCCCAAAAATGTCCCTTAAATTTCCATACAGAGTTTGGCGATAGCTGATATCGTAATCAAATGCAGTGGAAAGCTGCTCTTCAAAAGAAGACTTTCCAATTGAAATAGGAAGAGTCTGTAAGGAATTGAAGCGATACCGCGAAATGTAGTACATGGTGGAAACAATGTTAGATCTGATTGAAGGCTCCAGATTGTCTTTTAAAAGAAACGTATTTTCAATATCGATCAACTTTTGCAAAAGGCCACTGCACTTTTCAGCAAAAATGCCAAACTGTGTAATCTGAATCAGGTCGAGGTGTGTAGTCAAGTGGAACACATTTTCTATGATAATGTCGCCTTGTTCGCAGTCATCAAAGTCGTGATCGGGTTCAGAAAGGTACTCAATGAAGTAAATCAAAATTGGATGAATTTTTTCAAACATAGCTTCCTTCGTTAGCAGTGATGAGCTTTGCTGAAATACGCTTCGGGTCGATTTGAGTATTAAACTAGTGAAAGGCGTCATTTTCCGAAGTAGGTCACAGTAGATAGATAGAATTTCGGTAATCACTTCAATTTGATTGGATTTTTCTTTTGCAAACTCTTCAAAAAATGTTATTACAAAAATGGCGTGCTTTCGATTTCTTAGCTTGCTAGCTATTGGCTTTAACGCATCGATCAGTAGCAGCACTTCATCGATGGTCAGATGTTTAACGTTAATGCGGTTTAAAATTTTCAAACAGTTAAACTCAAATGTAGGATAGGCCATAGAATTGAAGGCATCCAAAATGAACTGATTCTTTGAATCAATGCTCGGAACGTGAACGCCAAAGTAGTGACTCTTTACAAGTGAAATTAATTTGGTCATTAGTGCAAACCAGTATGCGCGAATTGTCCTGAAGTCATTGACCGGATGTTCAATATCAAATGCCAGACTGAGAAAGGACATTAGTGAAAAGACACTTGATTTGCTCAATACTGTAAGTATTTCGTCAAGAAGATCCGATACAGGTTGAGAGAGGGGGCCCGGGCCATGAACTTCAGCAATTAGACAGATCAGTTTTCCGAAACAGTTTTGCTCATCCTCCACAGGTTCCTTAAGCCGTTCTTGAACTATCCTGACCAGTGTAAGCGATTCAATAAGTACTTTCTTATCGCCATGAACGAGTGATAAAACTTCAAAAATAAGTTTGCATTCCGCTTCTTCAAAAGGCTTTAAAAGGAAAGTAGAAATTGCTTTACAGATCCGCTGGAAACGAGGTTTAGGTGAAGACCAGTCAATGAGGTTGAGCAAGTTTCCGAACAAAGTATAGATTTCTTTTTGAATGTAATGTGTTGTGGTCGCTTTGGTAAAAGGCACAATGTGAATAGTAAAACGGCATTCTTCAAGATTGCCATTGTCAAACAAAAAGGAAAACAGCCATTCAGCTCCAGATTTGTGGCTGGAGATGTAGTTCATAAAGGACAACATGGAGTAGGCTACCAGCACTGTGTCTTCGTTTAGCTTTTCAATAAAAAGACGGCTCATCCGGCCTAGAATCTGACCCACATCACAAATGCTTTTCTCTTTGACAGTTTGAAGGTACAATTTGAATGTGCTTTCATGTGACAGTAAAGAGCCAAAGATGCGAAAGAAGGCAACAATGTCATCGCGAGTCTCAACTTTGGTTTTCTCAAATTGCGGCAAGTTGGCGTTGATAAGCTGGAAGATGTTCTGCTCAACCACAAACGATATTAGCTGGTCTTCAGTTAAGTCCGACTGCAAAAGTGAGCAAAACTTTTCAAAAAGCGTGTCATCATGATTGTCTTTCAGTTTTCCAGTGAGAAGCGTTTCAATGGCAATTCGAAGCTTCTCATTAACCGGTATTTGCTGTGTGCCACTTGTCGACACTGATTCGCTGGTATCCATCGTTGAAAAAGGCAGTTCTCGAGTCAGATTTTCGCCGGTTTACGTCATTCGGTTGGATTGTTTTGCCGGATTATTTTGGCAGCTCACGTGCTGGCTATTTACACTAGCAAAGGTGACGCCGAGCAGCTGATTTCAAAATAAAGTCAGCACATGGCAAATGTTATTCTGATTGCTTTTCATTTTTAAATTTTTTGTGATCTATCCAACTCAGTCACCATGAGGCACAGTCGTATCATCAAAAGTACTCGCCACAAGAAGCTCAAGGCGGTAAATGAGCTATGCGAGTTTAATTACGTCAACACCCAGTCAACCAAGTAAGTTTTTTAAGATACCGCGTTTGTCAACATAACGATAATTTGTCTAACTTTTTAGAGATCAAGGCACACCAAATAAAGTGGCTCAAATAATGGAATTCAAAGCAAAATCTAAACAAGCGACTACTCAGCCTAAATCATCAAAAAGAAGTTTAAAGGTTAACAAAAAGTACAACACTCTTACAGGTAAGAGTATTTGATTGATGCCGAAAAAGTATGCGTAAATAACACTGATCAATTGCAGTCAAGACAGGGGCTCAAACAACTATTGAAAAGGGAATGACGAGAGCGCCAAAGACAATGCCTGAAAAAGTGGAAAAGGGCATTTTAGAGAGTGAATATCAGTTTATAAACCGACTGAATCGCATGGTTTCCAAGTCAATTGCAGAGGCAACTCTAGAGGAGCACTTTGACGTCGACCTGGGCGGAAAGGTGAACAGCGGCACTGCTGAAAAGGATGATAAGATGAATTTCCTAACTCCCGAAGAAAGCAAGAAACTCGAGAAGAGAAAGGAAAAGCGTAAGCAGAAAGACTTGAAAAGAAAGGAAAGAAAACAAAAGAGGCAAACAAAGTTGACTAAACTGAAGGAATCGCAAGAATTTGCATTCAAGAAAGATTGTGTTCGGTTTGGCGATCTGGTACACCAGCCGCCATCTTTAAATTTTGGCAAAATAAAGTCTCAAATAAAATAAATTATGCTTTTTATCTCATTGTTTTTTTGAATGTTCACTTGTAAAGAAAAAACTGCACTAGTGTTTGTGTGTTCCAGTTTTGCTTCTATAAAAATAAAACAAATATGATCAATTTTGTCTACAAGGTTACCCCACCTCACTGAAACTGCTACAAAAGTTAAATTTGCAGACTTTGAATTTTCAAAACTCTTAATTTTGAAGTTTTAGACGTTCGTTAGTGTTCATTTTGGTTGTCATTTTGGACATTTGAATGAAGTAAAAAAAGTTAAAAAGCAAAAAAAGTTTTTGTCCGATTTTGTTTCCCCTGTTTTTTTCGGGCGGCGATTACGTCTTTTGCGTGCTTCCCTCAAATTTTTTTCCCTGAACAAAAAAAATCTACTCAGATATTCTTTTGCCGAACTGGAACCTATCTGTCACTCACTTATCATCCCCATCATTTAGAAACCAAATTCTTCAATCGGAAACATTCTTATTCAAATTTCAAGCATCAAGCTCCTGCTTGGACTGACCGAGCATCATCTCCCCACTGCCTTTTGCCTCCTGGCTGGTCACTCGGCGTGATAACATTGTTTACTCATCTGAAAAGGTGATCACAACACTCTTGCCGACAATGTCAACTGCTTGTGAAGCGGCTGGAAGTGAAGTTGGTGATGCTTCCCAATCCATTTCTAAATCGCAAAGTGCCGATAAAGCTGCCTATGAAGAGGAAGAACTCGATTATGAGGAAGAGATGGAGTACCACTCAAAGACAAATAACATTTTGAAAAATGACGAGGAAGAAGGCGAGCTTTCTGATGACACCAACGATGAACAGCAAACACAAGCGAACCCAGTTTCTAAAGACAAGGATGAAGGTATTGTGTCTTGAAGAAGCTATACGGGATATTTAAAATAACAATTATGTATCACAGGAGAAATTGACGATGAGGATGATCTCGAAGAAGGCGAGGTTAAAGAAGACGAGGACGAAGGAGCTTTGGCTGACGTCGAGGACAGTGCTAAAGTCGAACCGGATCCTAGGCGAAATAGAAATTTTGATTTGCAGCCTGATCCGCGAAGTTCAACTTCAAGTAAGTTTCACGTTTATCAAAACCGAAAACTAATCACTTTATTATTCACCCTAGGACCTGACAATCAGCGATACAGCAAGCCATACTACAGCAACAGTAATAACAATTTATACCAATACCAAAGTATATTATAACTTAACAACTTTGCATGTGTTTTCTAAACATGTGTACAATATTTACAGATTACCATAATTCAAGACCACAGTACAGCAGTCGTTCAAATGATCGATACACTACCAGTAGTCGGGTAAGAGATTACAATAACTACACAGCCCCAACACTAGCGCCGGCAGCCAGTCAAACTGAGTCCGCCTGGGAGCGAGGTTTGAAGCAGGCACGCGAGCTTCTGTCAAAGGCATCAAAAAGGAAAGAAGAAGAGGTGGACTTTGAGAATAAACGCTTCAATATGACCACTGGAGAGAGTAACCCTCCACTCCCCGAAGTGAACGTCCAGTTCAACAACAATCGTATGCGAAGTAGCCGCGAAAAGTCGCCGATTCAGAAGCGGCGTCGTCATTCACCGCACTCTTCTTCGGAAGACGAGGTCGAAAGACGACATCGCCTGGCCTATGATGCTGCTCCTTGGAACAATCCGAGCAGTTCAAACTATCAATCCAGCAACTATCGCAGCAGCAGCAGCAACAGACCAAACTATTCTTCGTCGAACCGCTCTGCTGAAACATATCGAGATCCCTGGAGAAGGTCAAAGTCGCCAAAACTGTCGCTATCGACTTTACCGAGTCGGAACAAACGACCTGAATTGGATACGCGTTACGGCGAAACGGCGATGCGATCTCGACACCCACCCCACAGTTCAGAAGGCAGAGACCATAGATATGGTAGCAATAACAACGGGGGAAACGGTCCTCAACGATCAAACTCAATTTCATCTTTGTCATCCATTGACTCTNGTCGGAACAAACGACCTGAATTGGATACGCGTTACGGCGAAACGGCGATGAGATCTCGACACCCACCCCACAGTTCAGAAGGCAGAGACCATAGATATGGTGGCAATAACAACGGGGGAAACGGTCCTCAACGATCAAACTCAATTTCATCTTTGTCATCCATTGACTCCCAAAATTCATCCAAATCTCCTCGACGAAAACTTCCTTATTCGAGACCAAACGTGGAAGCTGGCAATCGCTATGACCGTGAACATGGTACGTTTTCAAAGCCAGCCAAATTCTTCTTTTTAGTTTCTGACCGGCAACAATTTTTGTTTTTCTAAACACAGATATCATGCCCGGCCGAAATGATACTTTCCCTAAAACACGTATGGATAGAATTCCTAAAAAATCTAATGGTAAACTCCTTCGTATCAATCAAAGTAACGCTCAATCGTTTTAACACGTCTTTTATGTCGACCATCACACAGCTTCGGCTCACCCAACAAACGATCGCGTGTCTGAAGCTAAGTCCTTTGATTCGTGGTCCGAGTCCTTGTCGGAATCAGAGTCAAGTAGCTTTTATTCCGACTCCTCAGAGGAGAGCGATGTAGAGAGCACTTCTAGAGATGCCAAGTTGTCCAAGAAGCTCACTGCCGACAAGCGGTCTCATGGCAAGTTGGCCAAGTCTGAGGGTGTAGATGCAGCTTCAGGATCTCGAGGAGCAAAGGATTCACTTGCTAGGGAGGCTCATTTAAAGACTAAATCTGTAAATGCCACTAACAAAAGACAAGCGAGAGAAGCCAAAAAGTCTCCGATCAAGATGACCTTTATGAAAACGGTAATTTTCGTTGTAAACTATTCATTAACTCTATAATGACCTTTATTTTCTATTTCAATTTGCAGCAAACTTCGCTGAAGAAAGATAGACTGATTGATGAACAGTTGAATGGGGACGAGGTGAAGAGTCCAGGTGCAGAGTCACTGGCAGATGAAATGGAGATGAACCACTCGGTGTCTTCCAAGTTCAGCAGCAAAAGTGCTAGCCATAGCCAGTCGCATTCGGAAGATGAAGAAGTTATAAAGCCAAATATGGCCGCTTTGCCTCTGCATGTTCGGGAGAGTAGCATTGATCACCACTCTTCCGGCTCATCTTCGCCAAACTCAAACAGTCAAAGTAGCGACAAATTTAATCGACGCGAGGCCCTCTTGAAGAGATTGAAGCAAGTTGAGGAGGCAATTGAACGCAAACTCAACAAGAAAAAAGATTGAATAGCCAGAAAAGCTCTTTGCTGTTATCATTAGTTATGATGATATGATTTTAAGTAATTAGCAATTTTATTTGGGCGCTGTAAATACAATTTTTTGCTTGAGTAATTGACAACACGAAATAGCACCTTCAACTGCGAACGCGCCTTCAGTTAATTCAATACCTAAACACCTTTAGCAACTAATTCTTTTGAAAAATGGTCGAGTATACAACCTTATATTTTCATACTTTGTTCACTCATTTACTGTATATTTCGTTTTCAATAAAACATTTCTGAAAGAATTCAAAAGCAGTTGGCTTGCGATTCAATCGATGCTTGCACAAGTCGCCGCTAGAGGGACGACGGCACAAAAGTCGCCTGGCTAACACTATCTGCGGACGGCTTAGGCACATGTCTCGTCGGCGCATGCTCAGGCGCGCACACGTTTTCTCGTCAGTCACTTCCACTCTGCAGTAGCGTTCTTTTTCCGCCGCCACCAGACCGACCAGGCGAAGGTTTGTTTTCACCTCCATTTACCTCGATTCTGGACACGCCGCTAATCGGTTTACACCCCCCATTCTGTAGCATCCATCATGACCGGAAAGCGCAACGGAGTCGTGCCTAATGCCCACTTCCGCAAGGACTGGCAGCGTTTCATCAAGACGTGGTTCAACCAGCCGCTTCGCAAGCAGCGTCGCCACAATGCGCGCATTGAGAAGGCCCGTCGTGTGGCTCCTCGTCCCACACAAAAGCTTCGTCCTCTGGTGCACTGTCCCACCATAAAATACAACACCAAGGTTCGTCTCGGTCGCGGATTCACCATCGACGAGCTGAAGTCGGCTGGCATCGCTCGCAAGTTTGCCCCAAGTATGTACACCATTTGTTGTCATTTTGTTGTGTTGTGCTAATTGCCTGCCTTTGTGCCTTCTTACCACCTCTTCAGCCATCGGCATCAAGGTCGACTACCGTCGCAAGAACCGATCCGTCGAGTCGATCCAAAGAAATGTTGCTCGACTCAAGCAATACCGATCGAGGTAAATATTGACACTTGAGATGCCATCTTTGTTTTTACTTAGCCATTTATTTTCCTCATCACAGACTCATCCTCTTCCCGCTGAACTCGAAGAAGACCAGGGCTGAGGAGTCTAGCGCTGAGGAGATCAGCAAGGCCCAGCAGATCACCGGCACCATTCTTCCCATCATCAAGAACAAGCGAGCCAAGACGGCCCGCGTTCCCACTGCTGAGGAGAAGAAGTTCAACGCCTACCACACCATCGCTCGCTCCATTGCCAACAAGCGTCTTGTCGGTATCCGAGAAAAGAAGGCCAAGGAGGCAGCCGAGTCGCTCGACGCTCCCAAGAAGAAGTAAATGACGTTTTTCGATTGTAATAAAAACATTTTAAACGTTTTACACACTACGTGTTATCATTCGTAAACGTAATTTATTTGCAGCCGAAGCGTACAATGAATAACAGTACAGTTAGTTATGGTACAGGCAGAAGAAGGAATCGGAAGATGAGAATCAAACGGCGGCCGCAGTGGTGCACGTCTTTCAGTGGAGGAGAGTTTTGTGTGTTTGTGTGTGCGTGCACCAGCAATATCAAATCAAAAATTGGGGGCTGATGAACGAGTGTTACAGCCGACTATTTTGACAGCGCTGGTTCACATGTTTGGCAGAGAAGCCGCATTGCGTAAGCGCGTTTAAGATTTGCAAATTGCAATGTTTAGGTTTAGTTTAGGTTAGTTGAGGTTAGGGTGGGGTGGGGTAGGGTAGGGTAGGGCGGGTGGGCCGTTCGGAGTACCTCCGGACGACCGCTCACGGTCCGGTATAAACAAGTAGATTTTTTAAGATAAGCCGGCTTAGGGATCAGGTTAAACTCAGACACTTATATTTTATTCGAACAGCTTTTTGAGAAGCATTTTAAGACCTTCTACCGGAGTTTTCTTCAAGAAACGTTTGTAGAACTTTGAGTTCATCTGAGTAGTTTGAGAAAACAACAAAGTCGAGAGAAG